TAATTAATTAAAACTATAAGGTGGTTAAAATGGTGACTTTTACCTTAATTAAAAGACCACTCTGTTGTTTCTCTGTTATTTACAGAGTAAAACTCTTTAACTGGCCAGGTGTGGTGGCTCATGCTTGAAATCCCAGCACTTTGGGAAGCTGAAGCAGGAGGATTAGTTGAGGCCAGGGGTTCGAGACCAGCCTGGGTGACAAAATGAGACCCTATCTCTACTAAATAAATAAATAAGTAAATACTACACACCTCTAGATTTAGCACCTTGGGAAGCGGAGACGGAGGATCACTTGAGCCTAGGAGTTGAGCTATGATTGCGCCACTGCACTCCAGCCTGTCTCTGAAAAACAAAACAAAACAACTATTTAACTTGGCCTACAAGATCCTGTATCTTTAGTCTCATTATTCACATGTACCTTCTTTCACAAATATTCCAGACATATTGAAAGTAAACTTATTTTTTGTATCTCTGTGTCTTTACATATCCTGTTCCCTGTGCCTAGAATTACCAGTATTCTACTCCAGTTGGCAAATTTATACTCACTTTAGAAAATCCTGCTAAAATGTTTACCTCAGCTGAGTTTGATAACATACCTGTAATCTCAGCTACCCAGGAGGCTGAGGCAGGAGGCTCACTTGAGGCCAGGAGTTTAAGACCAGCTTGGCAAGGTTGTGAGACCGTCATCTCTGAAAGAGAAAATTAGCTCGGTGTGGTGGTGGTGCACACCTGTAGTTGCAGCTATTTGGGAGGCTGAGGTAGAGGACCTCTTAAGCCCAGGACTTTGAGGCTGCAGTGAACTATGATTGTCCCAATGTACTCCAGCTTGGGCAACAGAGTGAGATCCTGTCTCTAAAAACAAAATTAAATAAATAATAAATTTAAAAAATAAAATAAAATGTTATCCTCACATGAAGCTTTTCTTAGCTTTCCCTGGGACACTTACTTGCTTTCTGATCTATATTCCCACAGCACTTTCTCTTCAGATTTCTCTTCTATCACTTAGCAGAATTGTTTTGTAACCTGTTAGTTAACATATCTATTTCCCATTTGATCTGTGACTTTTAAACTTTTTTAGAGGTCATAGATGATGTAATGTAAACTGTGGACTCTGTCTAGAAAAACACACATATACGTATATATTTACACAATTGTCCATGAGGTTCATGAGCTTCCCAAAGGACACGCACAGACCATTCACCTGCATTAGAATCACTAGGAATGCTTGCTTATAAAGCAACCCGAGTTACTAAATTAGGATCTTTTGAGGGTGGGCCTCAAATATCTTGAACAATCCCACCAGGTAATTATTTTATTCACTAGGCTTCAAGAACCACTGTCCTAGCTTAACGACCCCCATGGTAGACAGTGAGTTCTTGAGAGCAGAGTGTACATCTTATTGAGATTTAGATCTTATCAATCCTAAAACCTTACTGATCTTTGGATCTTGTTGATCCTAAGATCTCACCATGTAATAGAGACCAGGATAAGAAAGAGATCATTTTTAGCGATGGTGATCAGAAAAGGTAGCAACCGGAGATGAGAATAACCTGCCCCATGGGAAATATGTTTTCAGTAGGTTGAGATGAGTTAGTGGAAAATATTGTAGGCACAGAGATTGGCAGCAGCAAAGGAGAGAGTCTAGAAAGTGTTATGTATATCCATAGAACCATAGGATAGTAGGAAATAAGGCCAGAAAGGAGGTTTGTTTAGTTATTAAATAACCATCTCCCCCCAACACACTATGTTTTAGATACTATGCAACACATTGAGAATAAATATATGAATAAGACATGGCTTTTGCTCTTAACAAATAAGAGCAATCTAGTAGTAGGGAAAACAAACATAAAATGTGATAAAGAGTAACAATGGAGAGTGAGATTTGAGACCTTACCTGCCCTGTGAAGCAGAGAAGGTAATTAAATGGAAACAGGGAACTAATAAATATTTACTAAACGCACAAGATTAGGAAGGATATTTCAGAAAGAAAAATTTAAAGTACCCAGGTATGCTGTGGTGAAACAGCATGGCCCACTCTTATAACTGAAAATAGACTGGTATAATTGAACTATAGGTATAGAATAAAGAATTGGATAGAAGGTAAAGTTGGATAGGTAGGTGATAGAGTCAGAGAGGTTTTTTGTTTGTTGGTTTTGTTTTTGTTTTTGAGATGGAGTCTTGGTCTGTCGCCCAGGCTGGAGTGCAGTGGTGTGATCTCGGCTCACTGCAACCTCTGCCTCCTGGGTTTCAGTGATTCTCCTGCCTCCGCCTCCCAAGTAGCTGGGATTACAGGCACATGCCACCACGCTCGGCTAATTTTTGTATTTTTGGTAGAGTCAGGGTGTCGTCATGTTGGCCAGGGTGGTCTTGAACTCCTGACCTCAGGTGATCCACCCACCTCAGCCTCCCAAAGTGCTGGGATTACAGGCATGAGCCACTGCGCCCTGCCCAGAGAGGTATTTTTAAAGAAGGATCAATAGGCCTTTGGTGACTAAGTGAATATGGGTAGTGTGAGAGGAGTTAAGAAGGGATTTAAGCCATTAAATGGTATTGAAATAGGTTTAGGAGCCTAGGTCAGTGGCAAGACCATTAACCAAGAATGAGACTACAGGCAATAACAAAAGTTTGGGGAGCAGTGACAGTGATATAAAAATTTCTAACATTCACTGAACACCTACTATGTGGCAGACACTATGCTAAATGCTTTATATGTACGTGTTCAATTCTCACAACAACCTTACATGAGGTAGGTATTAATATAAGCCCCATTTTTACAATAGTATTTAAGAGGTGAGCAGAGAATGAGGATCCAGTGAAGGAGATTGAGATTATGTTCATTAAATAATCTGAATTTTGTTCTTGTTAATTTATATATGCATCAGTTTGGGAAAGCACTTATTTGAGTTCTTTATGCCCAGGGCTATGCTAGGTACTTTGGGAGCTATCCATAGTTTGAGATACATTGTACTTTCAAAGTTACAATACTTGTTTTTTTTGAAAAAGCATACTGAGGAGGTGGGATTTGGGTTGATGACCAAAATGGTAAAACCCCACAAAGGTCATAAACAGACACATTTCAAAAGAAAACATACATATGGCCAAGAAAAATATGAAAAAACTCAACATCACTGATCGTTAGAGAAATGCAAATGAAAACCGCAATGAGATACCATCTCACAACAGGCTATTATTAAAAAGATAAAAAGCCGGGCATGGTAGCTCATGCCTGTAATCCCAGCACTTTGGGAGGCTGAGGCAGGTGGGCGGATCATCCTGGCCAACATGGTGAAACCCTGTCTCTACTAAAAATACAAAAATTAGCTGGGTGCAGTGGCACGCATCTGTAGTCCCAGCTACTCGGGAGGCTGAGGCAGGGCAATCACTTGAACCCAGGAGGCAGAAGTTGCAGCGAGCTGAGGTCGTGCCACTGCACTCCAGCGAGACTCAGTCAAAAAAAAAAAAAGTCAAAAAAATAACAGATGCTGGCAAGGTTGTGGAGAGAAAGGAACACTTATATACTGCTGGTGTAAATTAGTTCAATCATTGTGGAAGATAACGTGGCAATTCCTCAAAGACCTAAAAACAGAAATACCATTTGACCCAGCAATCTCATTATTGGGTATATACCCAAAGGAATATAAACCGTTCTGTTATAAAGACATGTGCACACATATGTTCATTGTGACACAAGTCACAATAGCAAAGACATGGAATCAACCTAAATACCTGTCAATAGTAGACTGGATAAAGAAAATGTGGTACATATATACCATGGAATGCTATACAGCCACAAAAAAGAACAAGATCATGTCCTTTGCAGGAACATGGATGGAGCTGTATACCATTATCCTTAGCAAACTGATGCAGGAACGGAAAACCAAATACTGCATGTTCTCACTTATAAGTGGGAGCTGAATGATGAGAACACATGACTCATAGAGGGGAACAACACATACTGAAGCCTATTGGAGGGCAGGAGGAGAGAGGATCAGGAAAAATAACTAATGGGTACTAGGTTTAATACCTTTGTTGTCTGTACAACAAACCCCATGACACAAACTTGTTTACATAACAAATCTGCACATGTACCCTGAACTTAAAATACAAATTAAATAAAAATAAAACAAAAATTACAAAAATTAGCCAAGCGTGGTGGTGCATGCCTGTAGTCCCAGCAACTTGGGAGGCTGAGATGGGAAGATTCATTGAGCCCAGGAGTTCAAGGCTGCAGTGAGCCATGATCACACCACTGTACTCCAGCCTGGGTGATAGAGCAAGACTCTGTTTCAGAAAAAAAAAATACATGCAAATTGTCCTACTTTCTCCCAAGCTCCTGGCAACCACCAATGTGCTTTCTGTCTTTGTGAATGTGTTTATTCTGGACATTTCATGTAAATGAAATCTGTATGATACTGTAATGGTAGATCCATGTCACTAAACATTTGTTCAAACCCATAGAAGGTATAATACCAAGAGTGAACTCTAATGTAAACTACAGACCTTGGGTGGTAAATGATGGTTCATTGATTGTGACAAATACGCCAATCTGGCGTGGGATGTTGACAGTAAAAGAGATTGTGCATGTGTGGACAGGAAGTATATGGAACTCTCTGTACTTTCTGCTCAATTTTGCTGTGAATCTAAAACTTCTCTAAAAAACAAAGTATATTTAAAAGAACTTTTTTAATGAGAAACTCTTCAAACAATGTAAAACAACAACAAAAATTCCTGTGTCTTTAAACTTTATCCCCTATGGCTCCTTTTTTAGGCCTCACAAAACTCGCTCCATAAAAACCAGTCCATTCCTTTCCTTGCTATGTAGACTGAGAGGCCTAACTCCTCCTCCTTAACTTTAACAAGCCGTCTGAAGAGCCTCTTTAGTACCTCCTCTGTAGTCTCCCTGTGACACTTCAACTCCAGGAAGCTTGCTTTACTCTACCCAGACAAATGACCTAATGACTTATATCCAAAAGGTAATCTGAACTGATTAAGGAGGAAACTTTTTTCTTAGAGATGGGGTCTCACTATGCTGCCCAGGCTGGCCTCAAACTACGGGTCTCAAGTGATCCTCCCACCTCAGCCTCCTTAGTAACTGGGACTACAGGTGCATGCCACCATGCCCACCTATCTTTCATACTTTACCGTCTTCTCTGTTTTCAACTAGCATGGCCTGTCTACCTAACCTGTTCATTGTTTTACATTTTCCAAAGAATTCAAGATTTGAGTTAAGTAAAAACATTAAAAATACTAATGGTAAATGCTAACTAATAATGCTAATGTTGGCCAGGCGCAGTGGCTCATGCCTGTAATCCCAGCACTTTGGGAGGCCGAGGGGGGCAGATCACCTGAGGTTGGGAGTTCAAGACCAGCCTGACCAACACGGAGAAACCTGTCTCTACTAAAAATACAAAATTAGCTCGGCGTGGATTACCTGAGCTCAGGAGTTTGAGACCAGCCTGACCAACATGGAAAAAACCCTGTCTCTACTAAAAATGCAAAATTAGCTGGGCATGGTGGCACATGCCTATAATCCCAGCTACTGGGGCGGCTGAGCCAGGAGAATTGCTTGAATCTGGGAGGCAGAGATTGTGGTAAGCCGAGATTGCACTCCAGCCTGGGCAACAAGAAAAAGTACTATTCTGGAAGGAGAGTGTATTAATGTTCTCCAGAGAGACAGAACCAATACAATACATATAGATAGATAGATGAGAGGGAATCTATTAGGGGAATTGGTACACATCATTATAGAAGCTGAGAAATTCCACAACAGGCCATCTGAAAGCTAGAGAGCCTGGGATGCTAATATCATGGTTCAGTCCAAGTCTGAAGGCCTCAGAACCAGGGAGGCCAATGGAATGTAACTCTCAGTCTGAGACCAGGGACCTGAGAACTGAAGGTTAGGCAGGGAGTACTGGGATAAGTTCTGGAGTCCAAAGACCAGGGAGACCAGAGTTCTGTTGTCCAAAGCAGGAGACAAATGTATCCCAGCTCCAGCAGATAAATCAATACATTCACCTTTTCCTCATTTTTTGTTCTCTACAGGTCCCTAGCAGATTGGATGATGCCTGGCCACACTGAGGGCAAATCTTCCCTACCTAGTCCACTCAGACTCACACAATCATCTCTTCTGGAAACACCCTCACAGACACACTCCAAAATGATGCTTTACCAGGATTCTAGGTGTTCCTTAGTCCAGTTGAGTTGACATCTAAAATTAATTATCAGAAAAAATGTATAGAAGACCTAATTTCTTACAAACTCAAGAAACAACGGGAACTACCTTTCTTCAAATGAGCCTAATTTACATTCATTATAGCCTGATATCCAAGAGGCTCTGATCTTTAAACTTCTGTAAGCTGCTCCGACAAGAAATAACTGCATCTGTGAAGAATAATCCATTACATGATTCAATTTCCATCTCATTAACCCTGTTTTCCACTGCCTACTAATTGTGACTATTTATTGAGCTCTAAGTATGTGCCAGGCATCGTGTTGTGTGCTTTTTTTTTTTATTTTAATTCTTACAATAAGTATCAATTCACCTGATAGATGAAGAAACTGAAGTTTGGAGAAGGTAAGTAATATTTCCATGATCAGGCAGTTAGTAAATAGGAGAGCCAGGATTCATTCTTTCAACTACTAAATATTAAATCTTTTTTGTCGTTAAGAAAATTTTTGTGGTTTTATTGTAACATGAGGCATTGAAACATCGTGAGCACCTGACGGAGAGGAGGTCGGCCAAAGTTGTGTAGGACAAGCCTGAACACGTCATTGGTGCAAACCCAAGCATCGTTGATGTTCTTTAATAGGAACATCAGGTGGAACACCATGATGAGGTCTTCATCCACCTTAAGCTGGCCCACAGCCATGCTGATGATGTAGCTATCTGGTGAATGCTTGATGGTCCTGCACCATAATGCTATGCTGGATTTTCTGGAACAGAAGGTTAGACAACTTCTCTGCAATGGCAGCTTTCCCTGGGAACTGTTGTCCTTCCCACACAAGGCATAACACATCAATGTAAATTGCGCCTAATTGGGTTCTATCATTATGAAATAACCGGTAATGATGTTCAATGAAGCTGGATCCAACCTGCTCCCACACTGGCTTTCTCCCATTCCGGAGCATCACCTGGCCTTGTGAAGACCCAAGAGGCTAGCATGATGGTGGCAGTGTAGATGGCCAAGAAATCTTTAAAATATGATTGTCATCTCTACATAGCCAATATTTCATTAGACAAGGATAATTCATCATAATTAAATTTCTTTTTATTTTATTTTATTTATTTATTGCAGAGACAAAGTCTCACTATGTTGCCCAGGCTGATCTCAAACTCCTAGGCTCAAGTGATCCTCCCACCTCAGCTCCCAAATTGCTGGGATTATAGGCACAAGCCACCATGCCCGGCCTATAATTAAACTTCTATCCATTTTTAGTTTTTTGGGTCTTTTTCTTTGAGACAGGGTTTCACTCTGTTGCCCCGGCTAGAGTACAGTGGTGCCATCATAGCTCACTGCAACATGAAACTCCTGGGCTCAAGCAATCCTTCAGCCTCAGCCTGCCAAGTAGCTGGGACTACAGGAGTGCAACATCATTTTCAGAAAATTAAAATTTTTTTTTTAGTTACAGGGTCTCATTATGTTGTCCAGGCTGGTCTCGAACTTCTGACCTCAAGCAATCCTCTCGCCTTGGCCTCTCAAAGCGCTAGGATTAGAGGCATGAGTCACCGTGCCTGGCCTTATATTCATTTTAACTTGAAAGCATACTTCCTCTCTATTTAACCTTGCCTTCATAGATATTTTAATTATAGTTTATTATTCTTCATTCTTGAACTTAAGCCAGATCCCCACACAGGTTTAGTTCTTTTAGTTCTCTCAGTTTGTATAATTCATGACTACCACTCTACTGTGTCCACAGCCCCTGGGGCCTCCTCTGTTTTGTTGCTTGTGATCGAGGTCTTAACTTGTCCTCTAGGGTCTAAGATTCATATCTATATTTTTCCATACTCCCCTTTTTTGCTCTTTTCTTTCTTGTTCTTTTCTACAGAGCCGGGGGACTACTCACTCACCTGGCTAAACCAGAATGACACAGATTGCCTCATAGACTGGAATTCTGACAGACCAAGAGCTCAATATCACAGGTCACAAATAACAGAGGACTGTACAAGCAATAGATTTTTTGTGATTTATTTTTTCTGATGGCTGCTAGAATGAAAAATAAATAAATACATCTCTAAGAGTAACCATTAAATTCTTCCATAGTATTTCAGAGTAGAAATCAATTTAATAAGTCCCTAGCATGGTGATAAATAATTTTTCTGCTGTTGTCAACCAATATCAAATACACAGTACTAGTATAGAAACAGCTATAAGGCTCTTTTCCAGCTAATCAACTCCTCTCCTCCACTCCATTGCCAGCAATTATGCACCTCAGTATCCAATTATTCCAATGTTCTTTTATCCTGTAACAAATGGTAGTCAGAACTCAATATGTGCCTGATTATCATCATGGCAATTAATCTTCTTAGGGTTTCAAAGCTGGAGCTCTACATCTCTGATTCAGTCTCATTTTTGCTTTACATTTTCTCTTCTATGCTTCTAGCTATGTATCTTATTTATACAGAGATAAAATTATATCAAATATAGCTAGGGTAATTAAGATGGAACCCTCATACTTAAGCAGATCCTAAGTAGTCCTCTATATATTATGGGTTCCAAATGGTCCTGGAAAAGAATATAAAAAAGTCATTCCAAAAAGTCCATACATGTTTTTAGAGATGGGTTCTCACTCTGTCACCCAGTCTGGAGTGCAGTGGTACAGTCATAGCTCACTGTAGCCTTGACTTCCTGGGCTCAAGCTATCCTACTGCCTCAGTTTCCTGAGTACCTGGGACTACAGGTGCACACCACCATGCCCAGCATCAGTACATTTTTTTAAGCTCCAATTTTCTAACTACAAATATATCAAAATTCATCACAATATACTGGACACAGCCCAAGAAAAAAATCTATTTTATACTAAACTTCATTCTTACCAAAATTATGATATATAGTCAACTTTAATTGCAGTAGTGGCACTCATAACTTATCGAACATTCCAATTTCACATTTGTCATAGTCACAGTATTCCAAAGCTGTCAAATTACTTCCCAGCGGTTACCAATATCAGTTCCCAAATTTCACTAAGATCTAAACAAAACAATTTTTAAAAGTTTCCAGCTTTATTAGTTTACTGTCTAGCAAGTACTATTTTTAACAATAATGACTCTAGTTATGTTCTGGATTTCAACTAATCACGTAGTTCCCAATATTATCTTTTTCTTATACAACTAATTGCACCCTATGCTTGAGCCAAAACTAGCCACCATTCCCTAAAGCCTTCCAGCTTTTGGGTCATGCCTATCCATTCAACTTCTATTTTCTCTCCTTACCTGAACTCTGGTCATCCCAAACCATGAACTGTGCTGCTGTTTCCTCCCTGGCAAAGCTCTTCATTTGAGGGAGGCTGTTCTTTCTTTTTCTCTCTCTCTCTTTCTTTTTCATTCTTTTCTTCCTTCCTTCCTTCCTTTTGTTTTTTGGGTTTTATTGTTTTGTTTTGTTTTTGTTTTTTTTGAGATGGAGTCTCACTCTGTTGCCCAGGCTGGAACGCAATGGTGCAAACTCAACTCACGACAACCTCCGCCTCCCGGGTTCAAGCGATTCTCGTGACTCAGCCTCCTGAGTAGCTGGGACTACAGGCGTGTGCCAACACACCCGGCTAATTTTTAAGGAGAGATGGGGTTTGACCATCTTGGCCAGGCTGGTCTTGAACTCCTGATCTCATGATCCACCTGCTTCGGCCTCCCAAAGTGCTAGGGTTACAGGTGTTAGTCACCGCACCTGGCCTCTTTCTTTCTCTCTCTCTCTTCCTTCCTTCCTTCCTTCCTTCCTTCCTTCTTTCCTTCCTTCTTTCCTTCCTTCCTTCCTTCCTTTCTTCCTGCCTTCTTTCCAGACAGTGGTCCTGCTCTATATTGCCCAGGCTGGCCTCGAAGTCCTAGGGCTTGAGTGGTCTTCCCACCTCAGCCTCCCAAGTAGCTGAAATTACAGGTGCACACATCCAAACCCAGCTGAGGCTGTTCATTTTCCTTTGCTCATATCTTTCCATAAGTCAAGATCAGGTTATCATCTTCTTGTATCTTCTTCACTGGATCCCCAAGGTATTATTTTGCCATCTTACCTCAATAGCCTCTTTCTTGAAAGTTCATAATACTCAGTTTTATGACCCTCTCAATGTTAAATTTCAATCTCCAACTCTCCCCCCAACATTCACTGAGGACTTCAGTACCAACTGTTTTCCTTTTCTCTTCTCATCCTGAAAGCCTTCATTATCCCCCTTGATGATCTAACACCCAAACCTCATAGATCCTTGACATACCCTATTCTAATTTCTGCATCTCAATTCCATTTGAATCATCCATTTTTTTTTTTCAGGGGAAAGCACAAATGCAGTCTCCCACTACCACAAATTACACAGTCAAGTTTGCTGTATTTGGGGAAATAGGAAGAGCCAACACACCCAGAATGCAATGAATGGGCCTCACCCTGAGAAAACCACCTTTGTGATCATGGTATCTCCCCTGCCAGGTATCAATTATTCGTTTCTGTAGTGACACCTGGAATGGCTCTACTTCCAAAACCGAACACAGAGGGTCCACTCTCCTAAACCTTATACTCCCTGAATTTACCCTTCAACTTCCTCAAGGCCTTTAATTCATTGACCCTCTTAGCTATTTTCCAAAGCCATTGTGCACTTTTGGGGTTTTTTGGGTTTTGGGGGGCTGGAATTCCTTTATTTTATCTTTAAAATTTTTTTTATTTCCACAGGTTTTGGGGGAACAGGTGGTGTTTGGTTGCATGAGTAAGTTCTTTAGAGGTGATTTTGGAGATTTTGGTGCACACCTCACCAGAGCAGTATACACTGCACCATACTTGCAGTCTTTTATCCCTCACCCCTTTCCCACCCTTTCCTCCTGAGTCCCCAAAGTCCATTGCCATCCCATACTTTTGGACTGCACTTCCTTGTTTACTTAAGAGTCCATGGACAGTGGGACTTCAATAACAGTAACCAGCACTCTCTATTCTCCTATCCCCTTGATTTTCCACCATACCTATGTCAATTCTCACCCACAAATCAACCCAACTGTTTATATTCTCCATTCCTGCTTACAAATTACAAAGTACTGCTGAGTAAAATTATATACTCCTGACCACCAGCTTCCCTTCCATCCAATCCATTCTCCACTGCCAACAGAATGTTCTTTTTTTAAAGTTGGTGAATAAGAGGTATATATATTTATTGTGTACAATATGATGTTTTGAAACACATATATATTGTGGAATGGCTAAATTGAGCTAATAAGTAACATGTGCATTATGTAACATACTTTTTTGTGGTAATAACACTTAAGAATGATCTTTTAAAACATAAATTAGGTAGGACTTCTGGAATGGCAGAGGAACTCAGCAAATCCCCTCTTCCTTAAAACAATGATAAAACTGTAAAAATTGTCAAAAACAATAATTTCAGGACTCTGGAAATAGGCAAAAATTAAACAAATTAAGAAGAATTTAAGAAAACCTGTGGAACCTTTGGCTAAGACCAGTGGGAGACTACAGGGCTATTAGCCCAAGGCTGCTTCCATCTCTCCCTCCCCCAACAGGTCCCTTCCAGCTGATTTTACAAGAAAAGTCAAGGCAAGCCATAAAAAATAACAATTTAGATGCTGGAGGGGAATTACTTCACAAAGAATGAACACCAAAAACGTCCTATGCCCATAGGTGTTTAAAACAATAGCAAACTCAATTTCATACAATCGAGGGAAACCAACATCGCAGTTACCTGAGGTTATAATATTGGTTGAAGCAAGTAACAGAATAGCACATCTACCAGAAGTTTACAGAGATTTCCAGAAAACAGGACAGTAATAGTGGGGCTTGATAAACACTTTCAAGGCCCTGGTTGTCTAAAAGGCTGGTGTGCATGTGCAAGGCTGCACTGAATGAAGTTCAAGGTACCAGAGAGGGGCCCAGTTATTTACATTTCCTTGGCTGAATGTGAGGCATTGCACAGACACAGAAGGACATGAGAAGGCCTATCAGGAAGTAAAAGTCATGGAAGACTTGTAAACTCTTCAAATTTTGAATGTGTTTCCCAATCCACACACAACTTTGTCAGTAAAGAGCAGAAGACATACTGGCCCAAGGTGTTTAAGGACAACCTTTAGCAAATTACTGGCTGACCACTAAGTTATTCTGACCCAGATATGACACCTAGGAAGCCAGGCTTAGAAATTTTTTTTAAAAAATTTATTTTTAAATTACATTAAATTAATTTATTTCTTTTGAGATCGAGTCTCTCTGTCGCCCAGGCTGGAGTGCAGTGGTGTGATCTCGGCTGGCCGCCGCATCTTTATACAGGGTTCAAGTGATTCTCCTGCCTCAGCCTCCCGAGTAGCTGGGACTATAGGCACACACCACCATGCCCAGCTAATTTTTGTATTTTTAGTAGAGACAGGGTTTCACCATGTTGGCCAGGACTGTCTCAATCTCTTGACCTCGTGATCTGCCTGCCTCGGCCTCCCAAAGTGCTAGGATTATAGGCATGAGCCACTGCACTCAGACTTATTTTATTTTTTTGAGTTAGAGTCTCACTCTGTTGGCCAGGCTGGAGTGCACTGGCAAGATCTCAGCTCAATGCAACCTGTCTTCCAGGCTCAAGCAATTCTTCTGCCTCAGCCTACCAAGTAGCTGGGATTACAAATGTATGCCACCAAGCCCAGTTAATTTTTGTACTTTTAGTAGAGACAGGGTTTCACCATGTTGGCCAGGCTGGTCTCGAACTCCTGAACTCAGGTAATCCACCTGCCTTGGCCTCCCAAAGTGCTGGGATTACAGGCATGAGCCACTATGCCCAGCCAATTTTTTTTTTTAACTCAGCAGAAGTCTGGTTACAGTGGCTCATGCCCATAATTCCAGCACTTTGGAAGGCTGAGGCAGGAGGATCACTTGAGCCCAGAACTTCAAGACCAGCCCCAGCAACATAGGGAGACCCCATCTCCCTAAAACAAAAATTAGCTGGACGTGGTGGCACATGCCTGTGGTCCCAGATATGTGGGAGGCTGAGGCGGGAGGATCACTTGAGCCCAGGAGATTGATCATAGCTGCAGTGAGCTATGATCACACCACTGCACAGCAGCCTGAGCAACAGAATGAGACCCTGTCTCAGAAGGGTAGGAGAGAAGGGGAGGGCAATGGAGGGAAGGGGAGGGGAGGAGGAGACAAGAGGAAAGGAAAGGAGGAGAGGAGAGGAGAAAGAAAATACAACAGAGGCGTGGAATGGGATGGGGCCAAAAAAAAAAAAATAGAGAAAAAAAGGAAAGCTACAGCAATCATCAGGGAGTAGGGATCAGGACACTGAGCTTAACATTTTGAGGAACTGCCACACTGTTTTCCAAAGTGGCTATACTCATTAGGATGTCTATCATAAAAATGATGGACAATAAGTAAGTGTTGGCCAGGGAGTGGAGAAAACTGAAACCCTCATACTCTGCTGGTGGAAACGTAAAACGGTACAACCAATGTAAAAAGCCTGTGCTTTAGAAAACAGTATGGTAGTACCTCAAAAGGCTAAACATTAGAGTTACTCTATGACCCAAAAAGTAGAAACAACCCAAAATGTCCATCAACTGATGAATGGATAAACAAAGTGTTATATATCCATACAATGGAATATTATTCACCCATACAAAGAAATGAAATACTGACACATGCTATAACATGTATGAACCTTGAAAATACTATGCTAAGTGAAAGAAACCAGACACAAAAGACCACATATTATATAATCCCATTTATATGAGATGTTCAGAGTGTGCAAATTCATAGAGAAAGTAAGTAGACTAAGGCTGCTGAATAAACTCAGCAGCCTTAGTCTACTGAGGGCAGGGGGAAATGGAAAATGAGTGCTAATGGTATGGGGTTTCTTTTTGGTGTGATGGAAATGATCGGGAATTAAATAGTGGTGATAGTTGTATCATCTTGTGAATATATTAAAAACCACCGTGTTATACACTCTTAAATGATGAATTTTATGGCATGTGAATTATATCCCAAATTTCAAAAACCCTCAGTGCTAAGTGAAAGCAGCCAGATGCAAAAGGCTATATAGCATATGATTGCATTTATATATAATATCTAGAAAAGGCAAATCTATAGACAGCATATTATTGCTTGCCTGGGGCTACCGACAGGAAGCATGATTGACTGCAAAAGTGTATAGGGGATCTTTTATCCTGATGGAAATGTTTTAAAACTGGATTGTGGACATAGTTGCACAACTGTACAAATTTACTAAAAAGTTTTGAATCGTATACTTAAAATAGGTGACTTTTATGCTATGTAAATTAAACTTTAATAAGCTGTGTTTTTAAAAAAAGAAAATATAAATCAACTAAAACTCCTTGGAAAAATACCAAGTCTGAGACAGGAAATATATAAGCCTTGTGCCAGGAAATCTGTAAGCCTTGTGCCAAGAAAGCTATGGAACACTAATGAGTCATGTCAGGAACATACAGGAGGCAACACATAGGCAAAAGATGGGAAATATTGAGCATTAACAAGGATAGTGAATGCAGTCAATTAAAACCCATTGAATATATTTTTTAATTTTTAATTTTTATGGATACATAAATAGATGTACATATTTATTATGGGGTACACGTGATAGACATTTTTTAAAGGGTAGTTAATAATGACAGGGAAAGAACAAACATATGCAACACATTGGCTATCACTGAAAGTAAGTAGAGCACCAACTCTTTACTCTGAAAAGTGGTAATTAAGGAAAGAATTAATCATTTTTTCTGCCTTCCCTGTAGGAGTAACACAATAGTCCCAGTTGATGAGAGAAAAGTTTACTTTCAGAAAAATTCCAACTAATTAATGTGGAAAACAAAATTAGGGAATCACTATTTTGAAACCGCTAGTGAAATGATTAATTCCACCAATGTTCATCAACAGATTAAACTATTAAATGAAAAGTTGAAGGGAAACATAATGAAGGAGTCAGGCAGGGCATGGTGGCTCACACCTGTAATCCCAACACTTTGGGAGGCTGAGGTGGGAGGATCACTTGAGCCCAATAGTTTAAGACCAGCCCGGGCAATGTATCGAGATCCTATCTCTACAAAAAAAAATTAAAATTAAAAAATTAGCCAGGGCGGGGCACAGTGTCTCGCCACCTATAATCCTAGCACTTGGAAGGCCAAGGCAAGCAGATGACTTAAGGCAAGGAAATCGAGACCAGCCTGGCCAACATGGTGAAACCCCATCTCTACTAAAAGTAAAAACTAAAAACAAAAAAAATAGCGGGCTGTGGTGGCACACACCTGTAATCTCAGCTACTCAGGTGGCTAAGGCAGGAGAATCTCTTGAACCTGGGAGGTGGAGGTTGCCACTGCACTCCAGCCTGGGTGACAGACTGTCACAAAAAATAAAATTAGCCAGGCAAGGTGGTGCATGCTTGCAGTCCTAGTTATTCAGGAGGCTAAGACAGGAGGATCACTTGAGCCAGGAGTTCAAGACTGCAGTGAGCTATGATCATGCCACTACACTTCAGCCTGGTGACAGAGCAAGACCACATCTCTAAAAATAATAATAATAAGCTAAATAAAATAAGAAGGAATTAAGATGTTACTCATTCATTAAAAATAGAATGGATGTTGAGACTTAGGAATTCTCTAATTAAAAAAAAGAAAAAAATAGAATGGATGTGTGCCTCCAGATGTGATTCAAAGTGAAATACACAGTTACCCCTGTGAAATATTCTTGACCAAATGAAGAAAGTTGAGCCTGAATATCATCAAGCCTCTAAAGCTAACTTCCATTATAGAAAAATATGGGATATAGAGGAATAAAGTAAATGACAGCATAAAAAAGAAAACAAACAAATCTAAAATGTGAAATATTCTACAGGACCATTGATCCACTTTCTGCAATAAGTCAATGGCTTGACAAAGAAAATGTGAGGCGTAGGCTGCTCTCAATTAAGAGAGACTGACTGGACATGGTGGTTCATGCCTGTAATAGCAGCACTTTGGGAGACTGAGGCAGGAAGCTCTCTTGAAGGCAGGAGTTAAAGACCAGCCCTGGCAACATAATGAGACCCACCCCCTCAATCTCTACAAAAAAAAAATTAAAAAACAATTAGCTAGGCCTTATGACGTGCACCTATGGTTCCAGCTACTTGGGAGGCTGAGGCAGGAGGATCCCTTGAGCTCAGGAGTTCAAGGTATCAGTGAGCTATGATCATGCTATTGCACTCCAGCCTGGATGACAGAGAGAGAGAGAGCCCCTGTCTAAAAGAGAGAGAGAGAGAGAGAGAGAGAGAGACAAACTTAAGGCCAGGCATGGTAGCTCATGCCTATAATACCAACACTTTGGGAGGCCAAGGCAGGAGAATCATTTGAGCCCAAGTGCCATTGCACTCCCACGACCTCAGCTCACTGCAACCTCTGCCTCCTGGGTTCAAGCAATTCTCCTGCCTCAGCTTCCCAGGCAGCTGGGAATACAGGCACTCGCCACCATGCTTTACTAATTTTTTTTTTTTTTTGTAGAAACCCTCCCTAAAAAAAAAAAAAAAAAAAAAAAAAAGAACCAATGCCTTCAAACTCTTAAAGCCCTTGAAAGTACTCAGCAGATCCCTTCATATCACCATAAGTATCCATCTACCTCTTCTCCTCTAATTAAGATTGCTTTTCTCTCAAGTACTAGCACTCAAGTTAAACTTTAAAAACTGTTTTCTTTTGTTTAATAACTAATATTATAAAATATTTTCCATTTGTTATTGCTATGTGTAATATTTTACTGACCCTGTGGATTAAGCAAGTTTTATCTGCTATTCTGGAAACATAACCACCACCACTTACAAATGGTTTCTCTGACAAAATTGTCCAAAGCTCCAAACTGCTAATTTCAATACTTAAACTTTTAAAAATACACAAAGAAAATTATACAGAAAGAAAAATTCACAAAAGGATTCAACATTTAGGATACCAAAAAGAGCTAGTTGGTAAGGGAAAGTTATTTACAGAAGAATTTCAGTTAATAGTTGTAGAAGGAGCTGGGCAAGGTGGCTCACAGCTGTAATACCAGAACTTTGGGAGGCTGAGGTGGGAGATCACTTAAGTCCAGGAGTTCAAAGTTACAATGAGCCATGATCGTGCCACTACACTCCAGCTTGGGTGACAGAGCAAGACCCTGACTCGAAATAAAAAAAAAAAAAAAATAGTGTAGAAGGAATGACAGAACTAGAAAAATCACCATTTGGAGTCCGCTTACGAAACAAATAATTCAGATGATGATCATCAGTGGATGCTATGACAACGAGGATGGCTTTCCAACAATGAGGGTAAATGAGAAAGACAAAAAGAAATTTTAAAACGGAAAGATCAAGCTGTCAACAATCTGTACTCACTGCTTAGTCATAGCATCACTAAAAGTGGACCAACCAGACGTTGGAGTAGCCTGTGTGAGGGCTTGGATTCAGGAGAAAGAGAGCATGGCATATTCCAAGAATGGAAAATGGAATTTAGAATTGCTGAGGTACAGAGTGTGAGGTGAGGAGTGGTGATAAATGAAGCTGATGCAGGAGCCAGATGTAGGGC